TCAGTATACATCATTTATACTTTTTGAATACACAGCAAGTCATTATATACCTTGCTGTTCTTCCAGCTGCTTCCTCGCTTGGCCGAGCTCCTTCTCGGCCTGCTCCAGTCTCCGCTTTAGTACAGAGACTTCGACGGTGTGTGAGGTCACGGCAAGCAGCGACGCCTGCTTATTCACATAAGACACAGTTTGATTAGTTTTCTGTGAAATTTAATTGATCCTCTGTCCGGCTTTTCTTTCTGAACACCGGACAGTGTCTCAGGGGCTACTGTCTATACATAGGGATTTTCTCTTTTTGCGTCGCTTACCTCAAAACCTGTCAGCAGGCCGCTGCAGGCTTCGGTTAGTCCGCTCTTGACGGACTGAACCTTCTCAATCACCGTACCCATAAGGATACGGTGTTCTTCCACAATGGAAGCACCTCGTAGCGCTTCCAGTAGATTATCCGGTGCCTCTGGTTGGACATAGGTCACCGGCGGGACAGGCACGCCCCCTTCTCTAGAGGGAGGCTTCCTGTCAGATTCTGGAGCCGCATGGGTCTCCGGATCCATGTTCGGATGGGGAACGGACTAAGCACGACCCCCATGGTCAGTCTCCATGGGGGTCCGATCCCCCATGTGTTCGGCGGCTGAGGTGTCGCCCTCCGGCGCCGCCATGGCGGCCTCTTGGACCTCTCCCTGGAATGGGAAGGTCCTTTGGGACAACACCTCGTCATCTCCCTTGGCCTTGGGAGAGTGAGCGGTTGGCGGTGTCTCGCTGGCCATTGCCTTCGAATCCAACAAGCCTCTTGATGAGGATCGCTGGGGGCTGTCATTGGCCGGACTACAATAACATGATTAACCACATTAATACCACAGAGTGGAGAGGCTGGATAAAAATGCGAGTACGGGTTCTTGGTACTCACGATGCGGCCAGGGGCGTCGTTCCGGACTGCTGTCGATGTCCCACGCGGAGCTATCCGCGAGAGGGCCTTTCCCCTTCTTGGGGGCCTCCACCTCCAGATTTGTGGAGGCCGCCCTCTTCTTCCTCCCCCTATCAAGGGGAGAGTCGCTCTCCTCCTCCTCCTCATCGTTGTCGTCTTCGGTGGCGGAGGAGCAGGTCTTGTCTGAGGTGCCCCTGCGGCGGGGGCCACTCCGGACCCCCTTGGCCTTCCCTTTGGCCTTCTTCTTCGGCTTCGTATAGGGCGCCGGTACCAGCATCTTCGCTAGACACGGGATGACTGGTTCCTCAGGTAGCGGAGCCGGACACTGAATCCGCTTCGCCCTCTTCATCCATTCCTGAAGAAGCGATGACAATAAAAGTTCATATATCCTCCTTGAAACATGCAAGTAGAGGATGCGTTAAATATTTACCTCATTGGTGGGGTGGTTAATATCGTGCCCGTGGTCCGAGTCTGTGGCTGGCGGTATCTCGCTGCCCTTGAAGAGCAACTTCCTGGCATCTTCATGAGTTGTTTCGAAGAGCCTCTCCAGGGTGTGGTGCTTCTTCAGATTGAACTCCCCTAGAGGGCGGCTTCGGCTTTGGCAGGGGAGGATCCGGCGCACCAGCATCACTTGGATTACGTCGACGAGCTTGATGTCTTTATCCACTATGCTTTGAATGCGCGTTTGCAGCGCTATCAGCTCGTCTGACAAAGACCAATTCGGGCTCTTCTCAACCCAGGAGGTGAGTCGCATGGAAGCGCCGGAGTTGAATTCGGCAGCCGCGGCCCAGGTGGCATCGCAGGGTTCTGTGATGTAGAACCACTATTTCTTCCATTCCTTGACAGTCTCCACGAAAGTGCCTTTCGGCTAGCAGACATTGGTCAACTTGCTCACCATGGCGCCTCCGCACTCTGCGTGCTGGCCATCCACCACCTTCGGCTTCACGTTGAAAACTTTGAGCCACATCCTGAAGTGGGGTTGGATGCGGAGGAAGGCCTCACACACGTCAATGAACACCGAAATGTTGAGGGAAGAGTTCGGGGATAGATCATGGGAGTCTTACCCGTAATAGAACATCAGCCCGCGGACGAAACGGTGGAGTGGAAACCCTAGCCCGTGGAGGAAACGAGGGATGAATACTACCCTCTCGTTGGGCTTTGGTGTGGGGGCGATTTGCCCCTTTGCTGGAAGACGGTGGGCGATTTCCTTTGCCAGATACCCGGCTGCCCGAAGCTCAGTAATGTCCTTCTCCTTCACGGAGGAGGCCATCCAATTTCCTTGACCTCTGGATCCGGACATGGTTGAGTGCTTGATCGAGTGGGGAAAGATGAGAACTTGGGCGCTGGAGCTCAAGAGTGGAAGGGCGGAGGAAGAGAGAAGGCGTGGGAGAAGAAGGGTAATCCTTATCCCCTTATAAAGGCAGTGAATATTGAATGCCTTCCCACTCACCCTAAAACTCGCCTATTCCCAAGGGCTGTGTAAACGGCACGGTTGGGTTACCCATGCCCGTATTGATGAGAATCCCCCAATAAGGGGACACGGTCTTTGCCTTGACAGGACGTGCCAATGACAACCGCATCTCGGAACACGGAACGGCGGACAAAAACGGTTCGATATAATGACCGGACAGACGTGATGTCATCTTACAAAAAGTTGTCAGCAGATGGGGCTCGAGAAGTATTATATTCTCTCCAGTCGTGTGTGGTATTTGTGTTACAGATCCGGACACATTCGTTTTATCCGAAGACTATCTTGGAGTATCTGGAAAGGCGAACCCGCCTTGCAATGCCAAAGACAATCTGCGCGCCGGACATATCGTCATTGAAGCCTGGTTCAGGGGCTACTGAGGGAGTCCTGGACTAAGGGGTCCTCGGGCGTCCGACCTATTGGATATGGGCCGGGCTGATGGGCTGTGAAGATACGAAGACCGAAGACTATACATGTGTCCGGATGGGACTCTCCTTGGCATGGAAGGCAAGCTTGGCGACCAAATATGAATATTCCTTTCTCTGTAACCGACCTTGTGTAACCCTAGGTCCTCCTGTGTCTATATAAACTGGAGGGCTAGGTCCGTAGAGGGACCCTCATAATCATAGTCGGGCTAGACTTTTAGGGTTTAGTCATTACGATCTCGTGGTAGATCAACTCTTGTAACACTCATATTCATCAAGATCAATCAAGTAGGAAGTAGGGTATTACCTCCATAGAGAGGGCCCGAACCTGGGTAAACATTGTGTCCCTTGTTTTCTGTTACCATCGATCCTAGACGCACAGTTCGGGACCCCCTACCCGAGATCCGCCGGTTTTGACACCGACAGCAAGTTTACCAATACGTATCTTATAAGTGTTGAAGATGCCCTAAGTACTACCTTTGTCCGGGTTTGAACGTCCACCCGACCAAACTTGCAGGACCAAGAGGCCCGATGCATAAGGCCCATCCCAATGCTCCACCATGTAAAGATGCCAAGACTACCAAGTAGGCATAAAATCATATGTGGCAAGTTAATTAAGGAGAGAGAGAGAGAGAGAGAGAGAGAGAGAGTACTTTGGTGACCCCGGGAAGAAACGATACTAAGCGCGTGTAACTAGGTGACATGTACAATTCTAAGTCTACAACTAATTAAGAGAAAGAAGTTTAGCACTCAAAGCTAAACACCTATGCATTGGGGACTTGAGTTTCCAAGATATTTAATGCACTAAGCAACTCATGTAAGAACCTTTGCATTGAAAGAGGCCTAATACTCTGCAAATATCAAACCAACCAGCAATATGAGTATATAACCTAATAAATTAAGTGTTGCATGACACCACGTATATGTTACTCCCCACCATAGAGGTAGTAACATAGACTAGTAACATATGCATATTACTAGTCCAAGTTACACCCCACTATGACCAGTTTGAAGGTAGTAATATAGGCTAGTAACACATGCATGTGTTTTTTGTCGGAAGTCTCTACTTTGATCAAACTTATAGAAAAAGAATATGAATATTCACAATCCAAATCAATATTGTTAGATTTATTATGAAAGATAGTTTCATAGTATATATATTTGGTATTTTAGATGTTGATATTTTTTAAATAAATTTGGAGAAACTTTGTAGAGTTTGACTTGACACAAATCTAATATGTGGAGTAAAAAGGACGGAAGAGAGTACACATCGTGAATACATTTGAAAATATAAACTGGATGTGGATCCCTAGGCATTTAGTTGGCTCTGATATAAGGGAGGGACCACCCGGGAGCTCCTAATCATTTCCCATAAATCTCCAACAGCCTCCATGCTCCTAGATTATACACTATCTTTGCTCGGCGGGGTTGTAAGAGGGTGTTTGTTTCCAGGGACTTATTGGTCTAGGGACTTAAATAAGTCCCTATAAGTCCTATCTAAACCAAACAGGAGGGACTTATAGGGACTTAAAGTGGGCATTTGGGACTTATGAAATAAGACTCTCAAGAAGGGACTTATAGGGACTTATAGTTGTAATATGGTCTTATAGAGACTTATAAGTCCCGGGAACCAAACAGATAGGGACTTGGGACTTATAAGTTGGGACTAAAAAAAGTCCTAGAACTTATGAACCAAACAAGGCCTAATAATTGTGCTCACCTACAGTTGCGGAAAAAAAAATCACATGTTTGATAAGCACTCCTCTTGTGGCTCTTCTGTAGAATCTCCCCCAGCAGATGTTGTGGCGTTTAATCAATGAAATCTCAGCTTCCCCAAAAAGAAAGAAGCACATCACATTAGCCATGTGGTGAGAACCATTAGCTAGCCATGTGCCTCTCGTAGGTGGCAAAACATCTCATGCTGCACAAGGCGATATAAATTATGCTTGAGTACAGAAGCATCTTATGTTGAATACAATCACGGTGCACAAGATGATGCTCACGAATAAACCTAATATGGTGTGCGTACGTCTATCTACTCGATTGATCTGCTTGAGCTGGCCTATAAATACCCACCCTCACCAGCTTCTTTTTCCACAGCACACAAATTCAGTATAGATCTACTGGATAGAATCGCTTTGATCTACTCCACTTAGCATTGCTCCAACTTCCACGAGCCGAGAAGATGGCCACTCACCCCAATTTACATACGACTCCATTTGGTGGGTCCGTACAGATGACCGAGTTTAAATTCAGTAGCTTGTACTGGCGCCACATTTATTCGGGACCGAGCCCAAACCAATCAAACATCATAGCTGCAGATGCTACTACTGAGTGGGGCCAGACATTAGCTAACAACTGGACTATATATGATGGGGTTGGCCTCAACGCCAAGCTAGTGGCCCGTGCACAAGGGCTGCATCTCTACGCTGGTACTTGGCACAATACCTTCACCATTGTGTTCGAGATTGAAGGGTACGTACATTACAATATTTTATTACATATGTACGTATGCCGTGCCATCTATTGTGGCATTGTCTGTAACTTGCTAGGATTTGTTTTTGTGAGGAACACAACCTAGAGTCTACTAGACATTCAGAGTTTGTTTCATCAGAATTATAATTAACTAATTAAGCATCTAAAAAGGCTTTATTAGCGAGGATATTTAAATGCACTAGCTTTTACACAGGTTCAAGGAAAGTACACTTCAGGTAATAGGAGCATCTGTTGAGAAAGAAGGTGAGTGGTCTATTGTTGGGGGGACTGGTGAATTCGCGATGGCACGTGGTGTTGTAAACAAAAAGCTGCACGGGAACATAGATGGTGGAGACATAATCGAGCTTACCATCCACGGTTTCTGCCGGAAGCAGGTTAGAAAGGAAGGGTTTTCAGATTTTTGGTGTTCAAATTTTATTTGCATGTTTATTCACTGATCCTTCTTAATCCATTATTTGTACACATGCAGATCGCTCTCACGAAGGTTGGCCCATGGGGTGGCAATGGGGGTTCGGTTGTTGAATCAGAAAAACCCTGGAAGATAGAGAGCATCACCATCCTGTATCAAGGAGTAATTGGTTCACTTGAATATTCTTACATCAGCCAAAATGGCAACAAGCACACCGCAGGTCCTTGGGGTAGTAAGAATCCCAACCGCGCCGAGGTGTGTTTATTTACATACTTAGTTCTTTTCTGGCCGGCCTGCTCTAATTTGCCTTGATTCACGTCCGAATTAAGAAAAATTCATTAATTTCCATTCATGGTATGGTATTGTACCGTTATGGTTGTTTAGGACCTTGTAAAAATATACTTCCTCTGTTCATAAATAGAAGACATTTTAGAGACTTGTATGGTCAGTGTGAAACATCCTATATTGATGAATAGAGGGAGTACTAAGATAAATTACTTTATTCATGTACAGATTGTGCTCGGCCCTGGGGAGGTTGTGACAGCAGTGTCTGGAACAATTACCAAACATAATAACCTCGATGTCATACAGACACTCAAGTTTGTCACCAACAAGAAATCCTACGGACCTTATGGAAATACTGGTAATGCAAAAGTCGGTACTCCTTTCAGCGCTGTCGCACCGAATGGCAAAACAATTGTCGGCTTCTTTGGGCGTACTGATATGAGATACCTGAACGCAATTGGTGTTTACATGGACTAGCTAGCAGGTCAAGAGGTTTCGCTCGAGCTATATGTGGCTTAATTTCAGTACTGCTCCTTCAAGAAAATAAGATGGTCAGAGATATTCGGCCTGTTTTCATGATTATTGTTCCTTGTATACACCTGCGGGTGCTTTGTTCATTGATTGAGGGTGATATGTAAAAAGCTATTATGTTTCTCTGAATAATAAGTTCCCTCAGGCATCAATATTTTCTAAGTTTAAGTAGCTAATTTCTTATTATTGTAAGGAGCTCTTTTTCTTTCATTTTGGAATGATAGATAACAAATATAAACTAATACTCCGTAGCACATATGCCCATGCATTGAGTGTGCATTTTAACTTAGTGAGAATTATATGTGCAATCATAATCCTACGTGCACGCCGAGATGGAACATATAGGTTCTAGGTATCGCCACATGAAGCAATCATGCTGCTTTTTTTCATTCATTGATTGAGGGGATTTAAGGTATGAGGTTTGAACATTTAGGTCCCGGATTTTGTTCGGTCATTGAACTTCAGAGAAGGCCCACAATATATTCAATCTATTTTTCCACTTATTCGAGGGGATTTTACGATATGAAGTTCCATAATATGGAAGTGAGACGGTTCTTCTCTTTTCCATGTACAAGTCATTTTTCCATTCATTGATTGAGAGGATTTAAGGAGTGAAGTTCCATCGTACGCCGTTTCTTCTCTTCCTATGCATCTAGCTCACATAGTAGGGTCTTCTCTTCTCTTTTCCTCAGATAGCAATCCTCAAAAAATCCAGGCTCCCTTTTCAAGGAGCTCATGTACCAATCCATCTATCACTTATCCGGTGTAATCCATTCATCCTTCATCCAGCTTACTACATGTAGTTTCACACACGTATATAAATTGGTACGACTATATGTACAGGAGTAATGTGGAACTATTTAAAATATTTCCCCTTATTTCCCATGTAGTTGGACCGGTTAAGTTGAGTGGGCTGTGAAACGCCCAGGCACCGAAACGACATGTGTTCGTAAGGCGCGAGTAAGAAAAACGAGTTGAAGGATCAAACTCACGACCCAAAAGAGTCAACCAAGTGCTGCCAGCCACTCGAACAAACACATCCTGCTACCCAGTTGCTAGCACAAATATTTAAGAACATACAACAGGGTCAGATTCGAATTTTTTTATCAATTTTTTAACCTTTCTAAAAAAATAATTATGAACTTCCGAATAATCATGGAAACACAAATAATTTTTGAAACCCCGAACAGTTTAAAAAAATGCGAACTATGTTTTGAAAATTCCATACATTTTTTTAAAAAGAAGAACAAAATTAGAAACATGAACATTTTCTGGAATTCACAACATTTTTTGAAAACATAGAACTTTTATAAAAAAACGCTAGCATTTTTTAATTTGTGAACAAAATTTTAGAATAGGAGCATCTTTTGAGCCTTCAGAACAATTTTATAAAATGTGTTTTTTGAACATGAACATTTTTTTGAAGTTAGGAACAATGCACTAAAAAGAGTATTTTTTTTATTTTTGGAAAATTTGTTAAAACGCCTTTTTGATCTCCAACAATCTTGGAAAACAGAAACATTTTTTTTAAATAATGGGAACATTTTTTTAGTTTAAAACAATTCATGGGCCTTTTCCAGCTAGCTCAGTTACCAATCCGTCCATCCTTCACTCAGGTTAATCCATTCATTCTTCATCCAGCTTACTACATGTAGTTCTGCACAAGTATATAAATGTGTACGATTATTTGTGAAGGAGCAATGTGGGACTACAGAAAATATTCATCCTCTAATTTGTGAACATTTCACTAAAGCAAGAATGTTTTTCAAAGTTGGAACATTTTTTGGAATGCGTGTTTTCTTGAAAATCTTGAACAATTTAGGAAAGCACAAATATTTTTTAAAAATATTTTTTTTTGGTTTTGAACAAATTATGGAAAGAGAACGAAAATTTAATGTGTCGAACTTTTTCAATATGGGAACAAATTTTGGAATTCTGAACTTTTTGAAACTTTGAAACAATGAAATTCTGAACTTTTAAAAAAATTGAATTTATGTAAAAAGGTAAAGAAGAAATATAAACTTGGAAGAAAAAAACTAGAACAAAAAAGGGAAAGGAACATAAAAAAGAAAAAATAGAAACACAACACAGAAAAAAGGGGAAATGGTCTGGCCTAGTCTTGGGTGCCTTGTAGAAGCTCCCAGCATTTGCTCTCATGTGCGGTAAATAGGGTTTTCCCAGCTACGTGGGGAGGAAAATAAGTGGGCTGGCTTCGCTGGGCCATATTAAATTCTGGACAAACGTTTTTTCTCTAGCAGACGGACTCACAAATTTTAGTACCACCTTGGATAGAAAAATAATTTTTCGACGAAGAAAGGATGAAAAAAATCAGGATGAACCATATTCATTTTTATTAGATTATTTTCTTTATTTTGGGGTGGGGGTGGGGCATCCAAACCTGAATATATCTCATATCACGCTAATGCTAGGAAAGGTGATCATGCCATAGTATGTCGTGATGTTTCTGTTTCGGCTAAGCCGATTTGTCCAAAGATTGAAAGAATATAGAAATTGCTTATTTGCAACATTGGAGGATAGCATCTCGTTTCTAAAAACTTTTCGTTCCTGGAATCCTAGATATTCGACACGACAGTGAGCATGACGAACAATTTAAGAGAGTCTGGCAGTGGCGGCGTAGTAGATGAGACTAGCAGAGAAGCCATGGTTGTCTAAGCTGGCACAATAGCCAGTCTAAAAAAATCCCTTAAGCGAAGGATCACTGAAAGAATAGGTGGCCTTTTGACCCCAGGACATTAGCACGGAGAGGGCACAATTTTTCATCAATGATTGTCTTTTCTTAAGATTTTGATGAGTGTTGAGTCGGTCCATGTGCACTAGCTAGGAAACTTTTTTATGTATGTCGGAACCTTTGTATTGTAGATATGCTCAAGTTCAGGCTGTATCATATGCGAAATTGGTGGTGAAGAGACCGCCTCCAAGGATTGTTCGAATATCGCCAGTGTTTTGAAGATTCAGCTGCATGAGATTAGCTAACAGCACAATTCTACCGACGCAACCACAGTAAGCCGGCTGCATAAGGATAGGTGTATCACCTCATGGAATACAATGGCTACAAGTGCATTTGGTTTTAGGTGGCGGGGGGAAAGAGCAAGGAAAACAGAGGCCAATGGCTCCTGCAGGCCACATGGCTCCCTACAGATCCACCCCAAGTCCTGTACATGCTAACAAGACGGGCTTCCGGATCATTTTACAGATTCCCTTCCATCAGATGCATGCATGCGCGTATGGCCATCGCGGGTTTATGGTCCGGATCGCCGGCGGCATCAAGCCTGTTGGGAGTCCATGCTGTCTTCCACGAGCACCTCCGCTTCTGGATTTCTGCATCAAGAAAATCGACCAAAGATGTGTGTGTAACTTCAGAACAACTCTAGACTCCCAACACTTCCTAGCGACACCCTCGCGATTGATCTGAGTCGGACTTTTTCTTTTCGAAATGGCAGAATTCCATGTGGAGCTCCATGGAGGAGATCCTCCTTGGGCCGGCCACCATGTGTGCCCCTCACCCCCAAAGGGGGTCCCACCACCACATGACATCACATTTGACTTTGTGGTAAAGTCTCAAAAGGTGGATTTTCAAAAAGCCATCAAAAGGGGTTGTACCCTAATAGTGTTTTCACTATTCACTCCAACATTCATGAAATATTTTTTGGCGTCTGTTTAATCCCAAAAAAATTCTGAAAGGTCCAGAACATTTCTAGCACCCCCTAAAATAATTCTGGATGTTTTGAACATTTCCGGTGTGTAGTTTTGTCTCCAAAACATTTCTGGTTTTCTCTCTGAAACTTTCCCGTCGTCTCCGAAACTTTTCCACCAATAATCTCTCGGACTCCCTGTCTATTACTTAGCACATAGATGAACCTTAAAGTGTGTGCGACCCTGTAAGTTCGGTGAAGTATAGACATGACCGGAACACTTTTCGATCAATAGCGGAACCGTGGACATCCATATTGATCGGTATACCCACAAGAATAAAAATCCAACCGAACCTGTAGTTTACTGAACGTTGCTCCTGTTGCTTCGTGATATGTTACAAATACCCGACGTGCGATTCAATGGCATCCATGTGAATCAACAAATTTGTTCAACATGCCAGTTTCCCCGTTACCGATTTTGTTCTCCTTGCTCGTTCCCGCGTTCCATCATCCCCGTGACCAAATCACGTTGTGTCTGGCCAGATGATGATAGATACCGTAGCACCAAGAGGGCCCAAAGACTATCTCTCCATTGTCGGACAATCAAATCCCAATCCTGAGCTATCTAGTCCCATGTCATACTTTTCCAAGAACCCGAAAGCCGCCGTAATAGCCAGCCTATTACGGATGAAATTTAACTAACCCCAAAGTTCGTGAAGTAAGCATGAAGGAACCCGATACTCTCATGGTCATAAGGAATTATGCAAACACTAAATTTCTTTATGTTACTAATCATCAACTTGTGACGAATGCATCTCATAGCATAATATCAATTTGGGTCGATCCAACACAAGTGTTCCTCTAACACTAGGAATAAAAATATTGCTCTTAAATATATGTGATCTTTTATTAGAAAGGAAAATAAAACTTGGTACGAATTTGTGATGATGGAATAAAAAAGAAATAGACTGCTCAATAAAGGCCATCATCGTACGGGCCGGCTGCTCCGGCTGCCCTTCATCGAGGAGGTGCTTAAGCAGCCCTTCTACACGACAGAGCTCATGTCGAGGATCCTCCGATAGCATGGAGGCCGTGTTCGCCTCCGACAACAATGGTGATCCGTGGACGAGGAGGCGCTGCACCAACACTGAGATGACTCCCATGGCAACGGAGCAAGGCATCCTTAGGAACACCGTCGCGGCGTTGGTGGCCATGAGGGAGCTCCGCAGCGGGAGCTCCACATACGGGCACTTCTCGATGCCACCCTTGGCAAAGGAGACGGAGCATGGCCTG